TTGTTTACACTCAAGCTGCTAGTATTTTGCTTGCCATCTATCTTGTGGTAATCACAGTAGTAAATGACACGGTTTCTCTGGTTGATTTTGTCTCCTACACACTAATTGCTGTGATGTTTGTCTTTCTGATGTCTCCTCTTGCAATTCCAATCAAAATGACACTTTTTCCTGCAACAAACAAGAAATTCGGACCAGTATCCGGTTCTTCTGACCATTTGGATCAGGGAGAAGGTGATCAAACCCAAACTCCTTTGTTGCCACCATCTTCATCAGCCTCACTCCTTGGGAGCTTTCATGAGAACGATGATGATTCAGATGTCGAAACACTTCTTGCTGAAGGGGAAGGGGCAGTGAAGAAGAAAAGAAGACCAAGGAGGGGTGAGGATTTCAAGTTTGGTGAAGCTTTTGTTAAGGCTGATTTTTGGCTTCTTTGGTTGGTATATTTTCTTGGGGTTGGTTCTGGAGTAACTGTACTTAACAACTTGGCACAAATTGGGGTTGCATTGGGTGTTGATGACACAACTATATTATTGTCTCTCTTCAGCTTTTGGAATTTTATTGGTCGTCTGGGTTCGGGTGTAGTTTCAGAATACTTCGTAAGGTTATTTTTCATTTTTGTTATCTATTTAATGAAAACCTACATTATATATGATTTGAGTTTATTCTATGCCTAGTTAATTATTGGATCTTAATTTACATATTTGATAAATAATTAAACCAACTCTATTTATACTTTTAATTCTAGAATGATAGATTTGCTTCTTTGCCCAATTGTCAAGAAATAATCATAAAAATAGGTCATTCGAATTCAACATGGAATTAACTTGAAATAGGATGCCTTCTTATTTCATTCATATGGTATTCTTATTCTTATTTGTAGAATTAAATTTTGTGTTAAACTCAGTCATAGGTTATGATTTAATTAAACCCTTGCATGCATTTCTTGTTCTCTTTCTTCCAGTAGTTCCTTGAATATACATATCTTTTGGGCTTAGCATAACACTGCTTTGCCTTAGTACGATGCTTAACATAAAATTCTTCACAATTCTTCAGTGCTAATCTTTCTTTTTCCTTTCCTCAAGGCATGGGGGATTGGATTTGCTTTCATCTTTTATTCCTGGATTCTTCTATAACAACTTCCATCTGAGATTTTAGATGTTTTTGAGTTATGATCCTGGACTTTTTTGTATAACATTGTTTGTCAGAACAAAAAATTTCAGATGATGTGTTAATTGGCATTATGCTTTCTTCTTTTTTATTTTCATTGTTTGATATTGTTTCTTTGTAGATCAAAAGCAACTCCTAGAACCTTATGGATGACATGCACCCAAATAATCATGGTGGTAGCTTTCGTTTTGTATGCTCTGGCTCTCAATGGTACCCTTTACGTCGCAACTGCACTACTTGGAGTCTGCTACGGGTTTCAGTATTCATTGATGGTTCCGACTGCATCGGAGCTCTTTGGATTGAAACATTTTGGCATCATTTACAATTTTATGCTGCTTGGAAATCCTATTGGAGCACTACTTTTCTCTGGTCTGCTTGCTGGTAATGTATATGACGCGGAAGCCACTAAACAAGGAAACTCAACTTGTTTGGGTCCTGATTGCTTCAGACTCACATTCCTGATTCTAGCTGGCATTTGTGGTGTCGGCTCAATCTTGAGCATCATTTTGACTCTTAGGATCCGGCCAGTTTATCAGTCTCTCTATTCTTCGGGTTCTTTCCGTCTCCAGCAAGCTTCAGACCACTGATAATCTTCATGCAATAGATACGGGCCAGTTCCTATAGCTAGTAATTATATACCATAGCAATAGCTGCTGGAGTCACAGGTTGCATAGATATGGTTTATGGGAAGATTTGTTTATAATTTGGATTGGAAGTAAGTTATGATGAGTTAAATTACTTCCCCTATTGGCAAAAAATATCAATATTAATAAAATGCAGCATAGGGATGGTAGAATTTTACCATGAATCTATTGATTCTGCATGACATATTCCCTTTCTAACTTTTTTACTAGTTTTTAAAATTTTATGCTGACATGAAGTTAAGAGTGATCTTGTTTTTTAGACTTTATAAAAGGGCATGCTGAATTATATGTCTCATCTATCTTAATATACAGATAGATAGACTTATAAATTGACTAGATTGACATCCGATATTCTTCTATATATAGTGATTGTATCAAATCATATGAATCTATTCTATTTTGTTTTGTGAAATGAGAATTAAAGTAGAAATTATCTCTCAGAAAGATGGTCGAATGGTTGATGGCTCTAGTCTTGAAGAGATGTTGAAGGCAGGGCTAGCAACTTGAGTAAAGTCGTAACAAGATAGTCATACTGGAAGGTGCGGCTGAAACACCACTTTTTGCAGAGAGAACTAATGCTTGTTGAGTATTTTGGTTTGACTGCGCTCATGAACTTATTATCCTAGGTAGGAACAAGTTGATAGGATCCCTTTTTAACGTCCCCATGTTACTATTTAGACTCCGTAAAAATATATCTTAATCATTATTTCATTAAATTAGTGGAACTAGTAATGTTTGATTTAGAAATCTGATAGTAGAAACAGATACAAGTATCATAAGTTAAAATCACAGTTTTAAACTATGGTATGATGCATACTCATAGCCGTACTTGTGTCTCGTGATGTTGTATTCATGGACAAGAACAGTTTCTCTCTTTCAAAGGATATTCATGAGTATAGTTAAAGTCTTACATATATATATAAATATATGCATATAATTCCATTATTAATTTGAAAAAAGAAGAGGATTTGTGTCCTCGGAACATGGGTAATCAATACATATAATATACTAACAGCCTGCGTAACTCCTAGTTTAAAACAGAGCAGATTTCTCCCTCAGTACATAGTCAAAAACAATGATATATTGTCCAGTAAAAAGAAAACACTATTTGTGCTTTCTTTCTTTCTGCAAAAGATTAAAGGTTACTGCGTGCAAAAAACAAAGGGAGACAATCTCATGACTGAATCAGATCACTCCCACTAAAAAATGTTTAAATGACCCACCACGACTACCTAATAAAGAAAAAAGATTAAGCAACATCTTCTTGATCACACATCCTCCAGAAAGAAAAAAGAAAAGTCTCTGGTGGAAGACCTCAAAAAACCCATCTCTCACCATTAATCAAAATGCACATAAATATAAAAAATTTCCATCTTTTAGAAATAGAAACTGGTCAAACTAGAGAAATTAAGTGAAGATCACGAGAGAAGAACCTTCATGTAGGTTTCAAATCCTGGAACATTGTATCCCACTTGATCTCCTCAATGCTGGGAGTTGACCAGTAGCAGCCATGATCATCATTATCAATCTTTTCCTGATCTTTTTGATCATAAATCAGAGGACTTGAAAAGCTGTTAACTCTAGACCCTAAACCCACCAAAGGAGTATTCCCATTTGTCAGCAACAATCTCCCTTGCTTGTTCACCATCAGTGTCTTGTTCCTCTTCAACATAGCTCCTTTCCATCTGCTGCCATAACTACCAGTTCTCGCAACACCCTTTGGAACAACTATAAGAGCTGATTCTTCGCGACGAACCCAAGCTCTGATATAGCTGGTTAGACACCTCTTTGAACTCTTAATGGCCAGAAGAAGCCTGGAAATAGGTTTTGGTGTGGATGGTTTCTCCTTCCTGGCAAGCTTGAGAATCTCAAGCCTGTGTTTGGCTATGGATATGCCCATGCTTTGAAGAAACTCATGGTTGAAGTAAGGTATGTCATCTTGTTCGAGCTCGTTGTTGGCAAAAGCAAGGCCATACTCATAGACGAGGGAAGGCTCAAGGCCTGCTTTGGACAACCAAGAGAACCAATCCATTACTATGGCTTTTGAAGAATGAGAGAGATATGCATATGTATATATCTATACATACATACATATATATATATATATAAAGTGGTGGGTACGGGAGGAAAGAAATGGTGAAGTTGAATGGAGGGAATTGTGTGTGTTTTGGGGCGGTTGCTTTTGTAAAAATCACCTAGTCGTCGAATGAGAAAGAATAAAGAAAGAAATGGGAGGGCATGCTTGGGTTTGTGAAGGACTTGTAGGGTCTTAAAAGGGCATATAACCAACAAAAGGTGAGGCTTTTCTTTAGTAGGGATTGACCCTTTAATGTTTAGGTGATATATTCGTAATATATTAAATTATTAAATAATTACGTAATTAAATACCATCATCCATCAATCACGGTATGGGAAAAGAGAAGCGTGTGGGGCTCCCAAAGTTGGTACCTTTATTTTTTTTAGTATGTATGTGTATGGTTGGGTCCAGATTTCATACCTCCAAGTTCTTTTTTTTTTTTTTTTTTTTTAAAGATTAGATTAGATTAGATTGTTAATTTAATTTTTGTTAAAAAAAAAGAAAAAGATTATTACTCGAACTATTATTAAAATTCTTTAATTTATAATATATTTATAAAGTAAATTTTTAATAAAATTTAAATTTTTAATTTTTAAATAAAATATAAAAATATTAATCGTAAGCAATTGGGTATTCTCAAAATTCATTCCAATTACTTTTTGTTGGTATTTTTGTATATAATTAGTTTGTGGGTGTGTGGATTTATTTATTTATTTATTGAAAATTCATCAATTTGGCTTATTTTCAAGAAAATGTGTAAATTTATAACCATTTAATTGGAATTGGTTTTCTACAAATTATATAGTGTTGCTCTCACCAAAGAAGTTGATGAACCAGAAGAAACCATTTCAAAGCTAACTTATACATTTGGTAAACCTATAATTCTTTATTGCTCATCGTTTTCTCGAAGGTGGTGGTTTTTTTAGGTGAAATTCTACTTAGAGTTCAAACCCGAATAAGTAAATTCAATAAAAAAAGAATGTCGTGTTATTTGAGTTACCTCTTTTTTTTTAATTAAATTATAAAATATTAAATTTAGATAAATATATATGTGTGTGTGTATTTAGATGTGAGAAAATAAATACTTGTTAGATTCTCTTCTTTTTTTTTTTCGAAAGTGATTTTTTATTATAAAATTCGTAATCACTTATTTATTTTTTCTTAATAAATCTTATCTATCAAGTCATCTATCAGCTTTAAAGTATACGAACAAATGAATGGAATCTAATTTA